TTGCTTTGCTTACCACTACTAAGATCTACTTAAGTTCAGTGTAGCCAGTTGAGATTTGGATTGGATCTCCATTGTATTTATGGATGAATTTGGGGAACGTGGATCTTTCTGAATGAATATTTCATATTCAAGATATGAATATATCTTGATTATATTGAATACTGAATCATCATATTGAATACTGAATCATCCATACAGATATGGGATAGCATCAATTTGTTTTGATATTCTTTAAGATCTTTTTTTTTAAAAGATATTTAAATTTAGGTTTGTAGGTTTTCCACAGAGGTCCAACATACCTTTTGCCAGAATAACTTAGGTAACATACCAATTTTTTTTTTGTTAATGCTAATTTTTCTAAATTGTATTTTCTTGTCTTTGCTTCTGGTTTATGGGAGCAGAATTGATTTATATATTGAGATTTTTGGGGGCAAATTTGCAGTCTTTCTGTCTATTCTAATTACTTATCTGTAGATGTTCTTAAGTGGCTTGGATGGAGACAATTCTATTGTCTGGGGTTAAATTTGTTTCATCCTTTTCAATTATGGTTTCAGTCACATGGAAGGGTTGAAGTGTACTCACCCGTCTTGGTCTCCAACCTCCCATGATTCAATGTCAAGTATTTTTTGTGGATTCTCTTTTTGAAAGATAGCCTATCAAATTGGGGCGACTTCCCTCCTATTACAGGTCCAATAGTCAAGAAGTATTTCTTAAATGACAAATGTACATTGAATTTCATGGAAGTGCATTCAGTAGCTATTGAAATGGTCATATGGTTTTTCTTTTTAATTCTGCTGATAAAGTGATTTATATTAATATATTTTCTAATGATAAAACATCCTTAAATTTGGGGGTGTTTGGCCTCTCATTTTTCCATGCACTGGAATAACTTTTATAAAATAGGGATTAATTGTGCCTTGAATATTTGATAGAATCTTCCTAGAAAATCATGTCTTATTTGTTTATTTTACTTGGTGTTTACTGACTCGGTTTCTTTATTGGTTATAAATGTATTTGGATTTTCATTTCTCTTTTAGTTTCCTAAAGCTAAATATTCTAGTGAATTATATACTTTGCCAGATGTTTGCTTATTTTATTGATATTTTATGATTTTTTAAACAGCTTGGTTTTATTGACTCTTGTAATTTTGTAGTTTATTTTGTTAATATGTGATATTAATGACTATGTTACTTTCCTTGCTTTGTTCCTAACTTTGAGTTGGCTGCTTGTCTTGTTAATTTCAGCCTTTCTTTCCTAACATAAGTGCTCAAGGCTAACTTTCTCTGTAAATACTACTTTAGCCACATTATGTTAAGTTTTAAACGTTCCATTTTCATGCAACATACGAATTTTCCTGATTTCCACTACAATTTCTTTGTCACACATGCTACTGGAAATGTGGCTTACAACTGACAGATGTAAGTTTTCTGTTATTTTTAAAGGGTTAATTTGTAATCTAATCACATCATGGAGATTATTCAAAATTCACTGTGGCTTGCTTTGTGGCCCTGGACTTGCTTAATTTTTGTAAATCTTGCCTGAGTATTTAATATTTCCATTAGAATAACTTTGTTAATTGCTTCTCATGGTATATCTAAGTTCACACTATTTCCCCCCTGGGATGTGTCAATCAGTGCCAGGAATGTGCTTCATCAATGACTGTGGATTTGTTAATTTTACCAATCATCCTGTAGATGTTTACCATATATACATATTTTAAAATTTATTTATTAGAGACAGAGAGAGAGAGAGAGAGAGAGAGAGAGAGAAGGAGCAGAGAGAAAGGGCAAAAAGCCCAAGTAGGCTCTGCACTGTCAGCACAAAGCCTGATATGGGGATCGAAATCATAAACCTGTAAGATCATAAGAGATGAAATAAAAAATCAGGTGCTTAACTGACTGAGCCACCCAGGTGCCCCACCTTTAATATTTTGAAACTATTTTGTTACTTGCATACACATTTGCATTTTCTATTGGGATGAATTTTTTCAGTAATGAATATTTTTACTGAAAAAGATATTTGTTTTAGAATCTGTTTTACTGATATTAGTATTTGTAAACTAACTTCATTGTGACTAATATTTGCCTCACTTATTTTTTCCCATTGTACTTCTCTATCTGCTATAATGCAATTTTACATGGTTACTAATTTCTACTAGTTCTTTTCTCTCTACAATTTTTTTCTTTCCATTTCTGTCTTCTCTTCCCAGCCTTTTACTGGATTGATCAAATTGCCTTATTTCATCTTTTTCCTGCTCTACTGTTTAATAAGATTGTACCTATTGCTATTCTTTTGCAATTACTATTACTCTCCCTGGCATTTTAACAAGTGTGTTTGAGTTAAATTCTAAAGTTAATATTGCCACTCTTCTCTGGATCTCATTCTCTTCCCCTGAATGACCCCCTCTTCTCGTTAGTCACTAATTGTCCTTTAAATGCCAGCTCACATGCCATTTTTTTGATAATGCTTGTGCTAAAAGGACAGGGACCCTCTCTGTTTCTCTCCATTTTATTCCTAATGTGCAGCCAAACGCTGGGCATATGCTATGTGACAGACCTGGTTGAAAGAGGGAAAGCAGGGAATGAGGGAGGAAAGTAGGGGTAGTGATGTTGAGATAAAGCTCCAGGGATGTCCGATCTGGGAGAAGATAGAAGAATCTTCTATCTTCTGTCCATCAGGAATCACATTCTCCTGATAAATCCAAAACAGAAACAATGCTGGATAAACCAAAGGGAAAGTTATTTCTTTCTCATGTTATGGTCTGGGGCTAGGCAATCCCAGGCTGGCCTGGGGGTTCCATAGGGTCACCAGGGATTTAGGCTTTATGTTTTAGCTCTACTATCTTTGTCTCATGGGTTGTATCATCAAGGTGACCTTATAGTCCAGGATGGTGGCTGGAATGTCAGCTACCACAATCAAGTTCCAGGCAGGGATCCCAAGTGAGAGGGGAAGGTCAAGAAAGGTCACGGTATTCATCGCTGGCCCTTTTTTTTTTTTTTTTAAATATTTTTTAATTTATTTCTAGGAGAGAGAGAGACAGCGTGAGCAGGGGAGGGTCAGAGAGAGAGAGGGAGTCACAGACTGAAACAGGCACCAGGCTCCGAGCTGGCAGTCAGCACAGAGGCCGGCGCGGGGCTTGAACCCACGAACCGCGAGATCATGACCTACGTGAAAGTCGGACGCTTAACCGACTAAGCCACCCAGGCGCCCCATCGCTGGCCCTTTTTATGATGCTGTTGTTGGAACTGCACCCACTTACATCTTATCTGTCACAGCTAAGTTCCATGGTCTCACCTAGCTTCAAGAATTAGTTTTTAGCTCGGCAGATTGCAATTCAAATAAAATCAAGTTGGTCTGTGAATTAAGGACGATTTGGATTGCTGTTTGAGGATAATCATTGGGGTGTACGCTGTAGACCAAGAGATGCAGGGAGGCCGGTACGAGGCTGTGGGATTTGGGGTGAGAGAAATTGACATTCTGAATTAAGGTGACCGCAACAGGAACGAAAGGAGGGGTCTGAAATGAGATTTGCCAGATGGGTGACAGGACCCTTCACAGCTCGTCTTCCCACTAAGCTGCTTCAAGATTCAGGAGACACTTTGCCCCTTGGTTTAATTTCACATAGTAGATATTCTTTCCATTGAACTCAAGGTCATTATGAGTTAATCTCCTCATTGGATGATAGAATACGGAGGCAGAACAATTTGTATTTTATTCCTAAATCTATGTAGGACTAACATTATTTTTGAAAACACATTTCCAAAGGGACTTATTTCCCCCCAAAGCTCTCTTTCCAAAGACAGAGAAATAGAACATTGATTCAAGTACAGCCGTTGTTTGCTTCTAGACACTCAAGATACACACAAAGCCCAGTGTCAGAAAATAACACTTAGGAAACCATACAGATACTTATTTCTGTGCCACAGACTATCTGCATCTCCTCCAGTTATTCCAGAAATCTCTTAATCCCTAGCTTTTTCCCTCTCCCCATACTATACTTCTAAAAGAATGACTTCAGGTGTTTTGAGCACAGATCTTTTTTTACTTAAAAAAGACATTTTTTTAAATGGAAATTGGGTTGGTAGAAATTCAATGGTAAAGAAAAGGCAGAAATACTTACAGATCTCTAGTCTACTTTGGTCTTCTGGATACACAGAAGTAAAGGCAAAAGTTTTACTAAAGTAAAACTAAAGTAAAATGCAGTGTCTTTTGTCAACAGGCCCTTCCTGGAAGCAAGATGAATTACTAAACTTTTCTAAGTAAAAACTACGTGAGCTCTTCTTGGGGAATGTAGGCTCTGGCTCTTGCAGCCTTCAGTTCTTGCTGTGGCTCCTAGGAGGTGGGCTTTAAGTAGGCTGCTCCCAAATGTAGCCCTGAGGTGTTTTTCACCTGTGGAGTTGATCCAAGGGAGCTCCGTGGGGAGAACTCACCTGGGGCGTGTGAAGGTCAAGTTGCTCTGTGTCAACCTCCACGGCCCAGGTGCCAGTGGCAAAGCATATTTCTCTGGCCAGACAAGGGAAGCTCGAGGCGGGTTCTGGATGGACTTGAGTGGACATCCAGACTCAGAGACTCGGAGCGAATGAGTGCCCGGGGACAGACTGGCAGAGGGCTGAGAGCAGGTGCCCACGCAGTGGACCTAGTCCTTCTACTTAAGGGCCAGGCACCTGCACCTAGTCCCAGGCCCATTCATGCTCGTTCTCGGATGTGCCAGGTGTGTTTTTTGCTTCTATTGCATCCTGGTTATTGGCTGCTGTTTTTGAATAAAGCTGGCCTGCTTACAGGGGAGAGGGCTGCTACCCTAAAGGGGGTGGTTACCCTTTCTTGGGTAAAAGAACCCTAAAGAGTTTCTGGTAAAGCTCAAGGGACTTGAGTAGAGGCTGAAGACACCCTAAGCTCTGCTGACCTGGGGATTCTTCATCTCTCAAAACTTAAGTCTGCGTCACCTGTAGCCATACTCATGGGTCTTTACATACATGAACAGAAAAGAGCACTAGGCAATCTCAGCGAGGCATTAAATGGCCTATCTTTTTACCAATATGTGGCCATCTACAAGCACACACACACGGGGTTGATCAGATGATCCAGCAGTTTTACGAACCCTCAAATGCCATGGATCTAAAAGAAGGAAAACCGGAGGGCAGGGATGCCTGTGGTTGATGACTGTGATGTGTTGGCCCCTGGCTCTCCTGTAGGAAAAGCCAGTGAAGATGTAAACACCGGAGGCCACGATTTCTGGACGGAGGTTTTTCATGACATTAATAGTATCTCATTACGGCGTACGGATCACAGATATCCAGGTTTCCCTTTGCGGGCACTCCTGACCTACAGCGGCATCTTCGCCTCTTCCCGGGGGTGACCTGGGTTCCACTCCACAGGGGCGGCAGTGCAGAGACGTGGCTGGAATTCAGTCGGAAGGGAGAGAGGCAAAGAGGAGACAAAATGGTTACTTATTTCAGAGACATGAGAGATCCTCCACCTCTCCACACAGAAAGTAAGGTGAATCAGGAAATGGATGGCGTTTTTCAAGTCACATGAATCAGCGACCCACGGTTCATCATTTTCACCGAGTGTGTAGCTGGGTTTCTCATATATTTTTTTTTTTTTTACATTATGTGCCTGGCTCATCAGAAACAGTTCAGGGGGAGCTATCATTTTATCCTGAAAACAAGAGAAGGAAACAGTTTTGTTCTGAAATGATCACCTCTAGCTTTACAGTGCGATGAGAAGCAGTTCATGTAGGAAGTTCTCCAATGAGGAATGGCTTCTCAAAGGAAAAAAAGAAACTCAGTAATTTCATTTGGAAAAAGGAAACATCTGTGGATTCTTTAGAAAAATTTTATTTGTAAAGAGCCTACTTCAGGAGCGCCTGGGTGGCTCAGTAGGTTGAGCTTCGGCTCTGGGTTTCTGCTCTGATCATGATCTCGTGGTTCATGAGTTTGAGCCCTGTGTCTCACTCTGCACAGTGTGGAGCCTGCTTGGAATTCTTCCTCTCTCCTTCTCTCTCTTCCCCTCCCCTGCTCTCTTGGTCTCAAAATAAATAAAGTTAAAAAAAAAAAAAGAGCCTACCTCTGTGCTGGGCCCTGGCGAGGGAGGGTCTCACTTTCACCCCCTCCTATCTCCTTCCTGCTACAGAAGACCCACTTACCAACAGGTTGGTTTAAGCTCCAAATGAGAAGACTAGCTCAGAAAAGTAAAGGAGCTTTCCCCAGGTAACAAGGTGAAATCACCATCATTTTCCTTTAAACTAAGGATACTCTATCTCATTCTAATTATTAATTTGTAATTCCTTATCGTGAAATATACATATTTTAACAATGCTTCCTTATTGCTTGTACATTGCATATAAAATTGACTCCCGCCCCACATACACATAAAGTTACATATTAAACATGATGCTACCATCCCTCCTGGTTTATGGGGTAGAAAGCTAGTTTCTTTCCAATGCTTAACTCTCTACATGCCAAGCATTTTTTTTTTTTAAGTGTGCATGCCTTTAACTGTAATAATGTTGAGGCACGCTGACAAGGATTAGCTAAAGACATTTGGGTCCTAATATCTGCCTCCATTTTTCCTGAGGGCTGGGGGCTCTACGGGTGCCCTCACTCACTCAAGGGCTGCAAGGTCAAGCATAAGGCAGTGTCCTCCATCCCCGTCTCCCAACTCCCCGGGAGCAGAATAGCCAGGCTAGACGTTGCCCAGCCTCCTCCCAGCGAGCCTCCTCCCAGCGAGCCTCCTCCCAGCGAGGGCTCCAAGGCGCTTGTGCCACGTCGGCAGAAGAATCAACGGGAACGTCAGGAAGGAGTTAGCGGCCTGTGTGCCAGGCACAGAAGTGTGAAGCTTTCCATTAAGGCTCCAGGAGCCAGCCAGCTGCCCTGCAGCAGGCGGAATGCCCCCAGCACAGCTCAGGAAAGAATACTTCTTCAAAGAGGCCCTCCAGCAATGGACATTTCCCCTGGACGTCTTACAGGAAATCCGAGTGAGCCCTCGAGTACCCACAGTGAGAAAGAGAAACTGGAGATTTGGGGCTGGGCTCAGCTCCCATGGAAACCTTCAGAATTCCTTTTACTTAGTTCTTTTATATAAAAAAATATTTCTAGGCTATAAAGACAAATCAATGTCACTTTGTGTTTCTACTGTTCTCCTCCCGGACCTGCGCGTCTACTGCGAGAGCCAGGACCCCTCACAGCCAGTGAGGTGTTCTTTGTTTTACAGATGTGCTCAATGGCACAGTTAGGGCACACCGGGCCCTTCCACGTCGGACAAATCCCAAGACCCAGACCCTGGAGCGATTGTGTGAATGTGGGCCCTGGGGCGTCCTAGGTCACTGCAGGCAGAGGGGACAGCGGTGGGAGCGCTCACGCGTTTCCTCTTGCAAGGGAAATTCAAAGCCACCCTCTGAGGCCCAGATCCAGAAAAACAGGGCCCAGAGATACCGTTCCCCACCCCCATCCGGAGGGAAAGGGTGACCTGTTGGCCCTTCTGGGTTCCAAACGGAAGTTTTGCAACAAAGTATCAAATTCTACACGTCTTGAAAAGTACTATGCTTTCCAGTTATAAATCTTTTTCATTTCTGTACTTGCTCCACGAGGCCGAAGGATCCAGCAAAAGTGCAACAAGTAACGTTTGGTCCAGAGTTGGACAAGCTGGCTGTCCATCCGAGGGTTCCTTTTCAGCGGGGCAACCTGGGGACCCTGCGACCTGCCTCCTCCCTTGGTTGGTCGGATTTGCTCATTTCTCTAAGTTCAGTCCAGTGAAATCCGGCCGAACCAGGCGGGGGGTGCACCCTAAAACAGCCCCTCCGAGAGCCCGAAGCAACTCTCGGTCTTCTAAGTTTCCAGCTCGCAGCACACATGGGGATGTCACACGAAACGAACAAAATCACAGACTCCGAGTCCGCGAGGCCCCGGCGGCCCCGGCCCCCCCCACCCCCCCACCACACGGCCGGACTCGGCCGGGGGCGCGCACGTACCTGGAGCTGAGGCCGGCAGGGTGGGCGCCACGTCTCGGGGTTCGGCCCGCGCAGTCTCCCGCCCTTTATACCGCCGTCCCCCACCCCTCCCGCCCCGGAGCCGCGTCTGCGAGGCCGGATGGGGGGGGCGGGGAGCCGCTGAAGGTCCCTGCGAGGCGGGGGAAAGGGAGTCATCGAAAGTCAACGCTCGGGCGCACTCGCACTAGGGAGAAAGGAGTGGGGCTTCCGGGGTGCAGGGGGCAGGCGGGCGAGGAGAGGGTCCCGTCCGGGAAAGGGCCGTGGCGGGGGCGGGGGCGGGGCCCAGGGAGGTCGGGAGGCGGGTGGGGCGCTCGGGTTTCACCCGCGCGGGGCGGGGCAGAGGCGGCGCGGCGGCGGGGGCGGGGCGGGGGCGGGGCGGGGGCGGGGCGAGGCCGCCCGGAGCTCCCGCCCCGAGCTCCCCGCCCGCGCGCCCCGCGCCTCTCTACTCGCCGGGAAGGCGGCGCCGGCGGCGGCTGCTCTCGCCGAGCCCGCTCGCGCGCAGCGTCCCCCCGCCGCGGGTGGGCTCCGCAGCCCCCTGCCGGCCGCGGCCCTTGCCTGGCGGCGGCTCGCACGCTCCGCAGGGGCGGCCCGGCCCTAGTGGCCCTTCCCGGCAGCTTCCCTTCTCCTACCGCGGCTCCCTTGCAGAGCCGGCTCCGGCACCCAACTTTGCCTCTCCCGGTCCGTCGGCCCCGCGGAGCACGAACCTGCTCACCCCCGGCCCGGCTGCGCGCCCGGGAACCGTGCGCCTGGCGCTCAGACCGACGCCCCCAGCCCGGAGCGCGGCGAGTGGCGGGTGCGTTTCGGCAAGTGGTACGGGGCTGGGCGGCCCTGCCTCGACCTCCCCCGCCGGGAACTGAAGAGGACCCTCAGAGCTGCCCGGGGCCCCAGGCGCTGCATGTGTGGCGGGAGGAGCGCGCCTCGCACCTGGTGAGCGACCCCCGCCCGGGCCCCGCGTGGCCGTGGCCGCAGCCCCTACTGTGCAGCGTTGCCGGCCGCGACCCGGGGGCGGCAGTGGTCGGCGGGGGGGTCGTGTGGATCTCAGGCAGGGTCGGTCCGCAGGCACTGGGCGGGGGAGAGCCGGTGGCTGCGCGCACAGGATTGGGACTGCCGTCCGTGCGGGGCGCCCGCACTTGAGCGAGTGCACGGGCTGGAAGTTTGTGTCCCTGTCTCTGCCGAGGTCGGAGCGTGCGGAGGTAAGGAGCGGAAGGGACGCGGCGGGCGAGTGGCGGGGGCGAGGCGGGACCCCTAGCCAGCACCTCGGGAAGGTGCGCAGGCGGGCGCTGAGCGCGCAGCGGGCGCGCGTCCAGCCTCGCGGAGGCGGGAGCGACGCGCCGGGGTCCCTGTGCTCCGCAGCCCCGCCGGCTGGGGCAGATTTTCCCGTCCGAGTTAGAGGGCTTTGCGGCGCGTGGGAGAAACCGGGAGGCGGTGGGACTCGGGCTCAACTCCGCCAAGCGCTTTGGTTAATGAGGGAGAATGAGGCTGGGGATGCGGGGGCCCGGGGCTGCCATCCGGATGGGCGACTCCCTTTTCGCGGGCATTTCTTCGCGGCCCCACGCTTTCGCATCCCCGGGCTCAGGATTTCGGAGCCGGAGGTCCATCTGGGCCCCGGAGGGAATTGGTCCTGCAGAGATGTGCAGGAGAGCAGTCGCCAAGGAGCGGAGTGTGCCCCCTCCCCGCGGCGCCCAGTGTCCCCGGCCTAGCGCGGTCGGATCCGGATTCCCGGGGCTTTGGCGGGAAGCGCGTCTACCTCCTTGCCCTTTTTCCCTTGCTTTGTACCTGGATGCGGAGGCTCAGAGTTGGGATTTAACTTTCCTGCGCCTGCGGCGTCCCGGGGATTGCCGGCAGGGGGCGCTGAGAGCGAGCACTGGAGAAGGGAGAGAGGATGCGAGGAGCAGTCAATCTGCCCTGGGTGAGTGGGTGGGGGTCCTAGTCCGATCTTTGCGGTGGAGGGTGGAGCTGATCCTTAAACCAGAGGGAGCTGTCAGCCTTGCTAAGAGAAGGGACAGGAAAGGTGATTGCCACACACAAGTCTGGGTAAAGGTTCCTTGTAGAGACAAACCTATCCCTGCAAACTCTCCCTGTCTATGCATCTGTCTGCGTCCTTGTGGCTATTTACTCAAAGATAAAGAAATAAATAAATGAACAAATAAAATATTATTATACTCATTTTATATAATAATAATAATAATAATAATGTGTTGTCAGTATGTTTAATACTGACAAGGTTATGTGCCTCAGGAGGATGTTAGTGCAAATGCCAGGAATTACTAATGGTTGTGGCATCTTGCTCTTGAGAAGAGCAGTCGTGTGTCACAGCTTGTCCAGGAGAGCTTTGTCTTAATGGCCAAGTTTGGACGGAGCAGATACATTATTATTCTGCAGTGAGTCTTTCTTAAGTAGACACAGAGAGAAAAGAAGTCTTTACTAGGCAAGACTTTTAACATGTAATTAGGATTGTTAAGTTCATTGCTAATTGTGCCAACTTTATTATTGAAGAGGGGGTAGTGTTTATCACTCACCACTTTGAGTGACCAGTGTGCAGTTTCAGTTGAAGGAGATACTGCCTGAAATTGTGTGTTACCCAAAGAACTTTTCTGGTCTATGCCTATGTTTGTAACAGAGGAAACATGGATTTTTTTTTTAATCCCAACCATTTGTCATTTTGTTTTTAAAGAAAAAGCAGTCTGAAATGTAATTGTTTGGGCCACTTGGAACACAGATTTCTTTTTCCTTGAGTTTCTTTCTTGTAAAAACTTTACCACAAAATAGAAGCTTATCCGTGGTGTTGAAAGGTCACACTAATCGTTTGCATGCTCATGGAACCCAGGGGTGAATGAACTAGTACCTGCCTTTCCATGCTTTTAGCCTCTTCATTCTTCCCTTAATAGGGAGAAGATGGATGATGCTAATCATTTTATGCCTTTTAGGAATTGCACTAACTTATTTGGTTGTTTTAATGGCTAACAGCTGCAGGATCCCTGCTGAGAGCAAAGACTTTGGTCTCCTGGGTGGTAAAGCTTGTCTCTGTCCAAAAGACGTTTCTGAGATGTTCAGAATTTGGTAAAAATAAACCTGCATTCTTCACTGCCATTTCCTTTTAAAATTATTTCTTCAGCATGTCTGGATAGAATGGAACATAGAAACATACAGTGCAATGGCTGTTAAAAGTTGTCAGCTCCAGGGCCATAAGGACTATATGCACGTCAAAGGAAGCTTTCTCTTAAGTTTTAGAGAGTTCACAAATGTTCTGAAGCCCAATCCATGGTTTTGGAGTAAGATATCTTGCTTGAGAGTCACTTTAGACTCTTAATTCAGGGACAGATGTTAAGAGTGAAAAAACTTTCCTTTGTTATATGCTAGCTCCTTGGGACTATGCTGAATGCTTGTGATGTTGGAGAGAGCTGCTTACCTGAATCATTGCATAATTTTTATTAGCCCGATAAGTATTTTGAATGATTCCAATGTCTTTCTTTTGGGTTACAAAATCAGTGAAATTAAGGCTTTGGGTCTGATAAACATACAGGAAAATGGGAGTGGGTGAAAAAGAACTTTGCTAAATGGCCAGCCCAGGGTATAAAAAGGCAGTCCCTCATATATACAAGTTATTATGAACTCTAGAATTAACTGAGATAAGAAACTAATCTCAGAAGGTTTGCATTGCCAATCATATAGTTTGCAAGATAGAACAAATTAGTTTACAATATGTCTGAGTCTAGGAAACCAATTCTGTAGTAGAATTTATATAAATGTTTGAGTAAAGTATTCCTACATCCTGCAGTAAACCCTCCATAATTCTTGATTCTAAAATTATACCAAAGTTGTGTTTCAAAATGCTTCTGAAATTGTTGCTATAGTTACTTAGACAAATTGCTTAGGGTATAATTATAACACCAAGGTGACAAATTTTTCTGTTTAGTGTTAAATAAATTTTAAAATGTAAATTACAGCATCTAACAAATTGAGTTCCGCCCAAGTGCAAAGTGTGTGGTGTGGAACCTTGGTACATTTCTGCCCACCTGCATCTATTTGCAAATTTATACAGAGAAAGTGAACTCTTTTCCTGAGTACCAAGCTGAGGATATAGAAGTGCTTTGAGTTGTTTGTACTACTTCATGTACTGTTGCTGACAACACAGACATTTTCGCATATGTTTCTAGCAACCTTTTAAAATTGAGACGCAGAAGCTTTGTTGAAAATTACCGGTTTTTATCTCTCTACTTGCTGCCTTGTAGACATGGTCTTCTGTAGATAGGGGGCAATCTGCCATCTCTAATCCCCGCACCAATTGGTAGCATCGTGATGGTAAATTCAACAGGTGAGGAATAGCTCATGGGGAAGCAGTTTGAAGAAGCAGCTTTTGGTATGCTTGATAAATATATCAAATTATGTCTTTGATGAATTTGTGAGGTATTGGTTATCTGGATCTATGAGATTGATTTCGAGACAAGACGAGAAGAAAAAAATTAAAGTGAGCTAGAATATACACAAGAAAACATTTCACTTTCAGCGAGCCTACCTAAACTTTGTTTTGGTTCAGAATTTAAGTCAAACGGAGTAAAGCAAACGAAAATTTGATCCAAGAGAAGATAGAGAGTAAGTAATTTATTATAATGTACTGGTATCGACACAATTAATCTTTGCCATCTACTTTGTTTGAGTGTTTTGAAGCCAGGCAAGTTCAAAGACAAGTTGTATTTCACCTGGGACATGACATTTACAGTAGGATTAACCCGACAGTGGGCTCAAGAAAACAGAATTTTTTTCAAAGAAATTGCTGTTTTCTTTTTCTTTTCCATTTTTTTTTTTTTGTTCAAGATTAATGGCTGTCCGACAAGAGCAAAGATGACCTACTTTATTTCCCTCTCCTGAGTGTTAAAATATATTGGCATAGTACTGTTACATTTGGAAAAAAAAAATCATTGCATTCTTTGCTCTTCTCCCCTGCCTCACATGTGCTACAATTGGTTTCCTGATTAATATTGAAAAGCACTGTATCCTGAAAGAGGATACATTTTTCTGGGGGTGAATATCTTTTATTTCTGGAAGGCCGTGAACCCACTAATCTTTTATCTTCCCATCTTTCATTCCTTCCACGTCATGCTATCTGCAGAATTGGCCATCCTGCGCCTCTGTGGGATGATGAGGAAGTATATATGGAACAATTTATTTTATGTTGCATTTTTATGTACATTTGTGAGTAGATCACATTACTGCAATAGGTAATTCAATTACAGATATGTATGATAAATAACCAGGA